TGCTCTTTTTACTACTTATATTATTATATATAAGCCTATATCAAAATACCCAATAGGCCTAACGTTCATGTGCAGCTGCTATACTACCCCTAAAATTGTCTTATTTTCGACATTTTAGGAGTATCTTCCTTATGCTCTAATGTGATCTTATCTGTTCATGTTTATTTTTTTAATTTAAAGATGAGATGAACATTGAATGAAACAAAAAAAGGAACATTTATATAAGCCTATATAGGATAATTTAAGACATAACCCAGATATAAAAAACACGTCATCGCGTTGGGATTAATATTCTTATTTTTATTTATTTTTTGTTCGCGTAGGCACCTTTGATCGTAAATTACTGTTTATCTGTATAAAGCTATATTCTGATAGCTATGTAGGCCCTATCTCTTAAATACCTTTGGTATTTGCTGTTTATAAGCATATAAGGAAGGAGAAATTGCCACTCCTGAGATTGCCAAATAAAGAGTCGGAATCTCAACACGATGGCGTGTTTGTCCGTAGGCTTACTTGGAGGAGTCTATCTTACATTATTTATGAGACTAACCTCTTATATATATATACAAATATACTATATATAAAAATACAATATAATGAACTTTAGTTTATTAATGAACGTAACATTACCGATTTAATTTGAATTACAAATTACATATATAGCTTATTTGGAATGAGAACATTATTAAAAATATATACACCAAACCTTCTAAAAAATAAAAATAAAAAATAACACTGTAAAAACATCGAATAGAGATTTACCTTATCTAACACCAACTAATATTCAAATGAGCAAGTGCTCAATAAACATAATTCTCAATTAATAACAATTTTACATATTTCCAAGCCTGAACACTAATAGTAAGAACCTAAAAAGAAACAAACTATGGCCGATATGCTCATAATATATGGGTGTGATATGACATCATATCTATATATGGGTGTGATATGACATCATATCTATATATGGATGTGATATGACATCATAACTATATATGGGTGTGATATGACATCATATCTATGAGCATCACGTAAATTTGTCAAATAAAACATAGTTGTATGGACAGTGCTTCAATATACTCTTTTGGATTGATAAATTAATATTTAAATTAAGCTCAATAGTTTTTAGTTTCTGTAATAACGTATGTTTAACGGTCTCCTTACAATAATTTGTCCATGTTCAGTATTTAAATTGCTTTTTTGTAGGCCTATCTAAAGCCCTCTGTTCAGATAATCAAATTATATTTGACAAAAAAAAAACAACTGTTGTATGCCCATATATAGTCATGATGTGACTATATATGGTCATGATTTCATCATGACCATATTTAGGCATGTCACATGTTTTATTTAAAAGTTTGAAGACAAGAAGACATTTTCCTCGCAATTTAACAGGCGCATAAGTTATACCATTCCTATATTCTTTGCATAGAGCTTCAAATTTGCTGGTAAATTTCAATTTCAGGATTTTTAAAATTTTTTTAGTAAACAAATCAGACCTAATTGACGTTTAGTGTCTGACCAATCAGAAGAGGGTCATCAACACGCGCACGTTTTTCAAACACACGTATGTTCACGTATTTAAATGCTGTCAGTTTGTGTGAACAATATCCAGTGGCCGGGTCTTAGGGGAAAGGTCCCCTTTTTCAATGTTTTATTTAATTTATGATGTTTTCCCCAGATTTTACTAAAGAATTTTCTTTAAGTTGGAAGACTACAAAAATGATTGCCGGGTTCATAGACCTCAACGTATTCATATCTTCAGATAATTCGCCATACATACAAAATAGTTATTTATTAAACGTTTTATAAAACTTGCCTATCCAATAGTAATAACCAATAATATTTAATAGCTATATATACGTGAGCATAAAAGTGTCAAAATGTAACCATAGTTAAAAAATGTATCGTATGTACGTGGACGCTTTTACCAAATCAACGTCTTTTTTACGTACTTATAAACTGTCAGTGTACGGGACCTTTAAACCTGTTTAAAATGTTGATTAAAGTAGACACGGTATAGTTTTTTTTGTCAATTAGTAAATATTGATACGGTATTATTATTGAAAAGAAGTCAAAATGCTAATAATATGTATTCATTTATACAAATGCCTAAATAGAATATATAACGATAGATTGTTTTACGTTCACGTATACAGAACTAGTTGCCTTTATGCGCATGCTCTGAAGTGATCTGTATGATAATATTCATAATAAGCCTTAATAACAATTCAATAATTAAAATATGCTTTCTGTATGTTAGAATTCGATGAATTTATTAACCTGGTTTCTATAGATAATTATTACTGATACAATGTGTATAATAATTGAATGTGGTATCTTGAAATCGGATAAGCCTTTCAAAAAGCATTACCCTAATCTGAGTGCTATATCTCTCGAGTTATTCTAAGCATACTGATTCTTATGATAACTCTATGATTGTCTCTGAATTGTACTTCAACAATACTTTTATTTATTTAATTTACGTTGGCAAATCACAGATACCAAATCATACATTTATGTTATAGTTCGCTATTGATCGTGGCAAAAGAAGACATATTCCACAACAACACTCAAAGCATTATAATATAATTATCATATTAAGATTATTAATTATTATACTATGATAATCAATAATTTTATATTATGTATTATTTTTTTGAAAAAAAAAGAATCAAATGAGCTGGCGTTCTGTTAGTATTTGTACTTCGACCAGAGTATATACAATTTCTGGCAAATTACCGTATGAAAATCGATTAAAAAAATCACTTATGTGTTCTTTAGTGCTTAATTTTGTTTATTTGTCGTTTAAAAGTTTTCTTTGTGGAAGTCAAATTTAAACATACTGCAATATTTCTTCAATGTCTTTGCTAAAGCTGGCGCCCCACAGAAGAAAACACGAACTTTCCCTTTATTTTCACTTGCAATTTTTGACATAACCTGTAAAACAATAAAAGAAAACATGATGAACATGAACGCTTGATGTATTTTATTGAATGATTTATCATCATTATTACCACTACCATCGTCATCATCATCATCATCACCACCACCATCAACTTTCCCTTTATTTGCTCATGAACTTTTCGACATAATCTATATAAAATAATATAATAAAACATGAGTTAATGAGGTATTTTGGCACAACACAACACTAATTTATTAATTTATGCATTATATATAATGGCGATTTAATCAGCCTAGTCAGGTAAAGGCTTGTGATAGTGCAGTTTAAATGAGTTTTAAAAAAAAAGAGCGATGTTGAAGTTGATTCAGAGGAAAGATTATTTCCGATAAACTGATTAATATGCACATGCGTTAGCCTAATTTGAGAGATAAGCCATATTGTCTGCATTAAGCAGTAGGGAAACTAATTGAGCTAATTATCATGGAGAATAGGCCTAATTGGTTTTT